CCCTAAACCCAAAACCCTCAGCCCTAACTCCGAACATCCGCGGCATTGCCGCTTGAAACCTAAGGACGTAAACCACAAACCCTCAACCTGCGACCTCTTGAAGGGACCCTTTGTCTACCCTCAAAGGCACCCTAAGGATACCATTGGTAACTGGTACGCTTGAAGGTGTAGACAGCCAGGATCCTATGCTTCATTTTAGTTCAGGGTTTCAGGCTTTAGGGTTTAGGGTGTGCCCTTCTCCCGAGGTACGGAAACGGAAAGTGCCGCGGCTATGCCATTGTGGGCTTCAAGTCTTCAGATTCTCGGCTTTCGGGGTCTAAGGTTTAGGTACCAGGGTGTGGGCCTTAGCGTTGAGGTCCAGCGTAGGGATGCTCAAACCCCATACCCTAAATCCATAAAGCCCTGCCGCCCTAAAGCCCCAAACCTTAAAACCCTAAACCCTTATAGATCCCTCCAGGGAACTCTTGGAAGGCACCCCTATACATCTTAGGATGTGGCCCATAAGTTCGTGATCGGTGTGTCCCAGCAGCACATCCCTGGCTTCCTCAAGGAAGTGCGTCTTACTTGCACCGAGTTGCCAGAGGGTCTTCGCAGCGTTGAAGCTTTGGTGTTGGGTTTGGGTCTAGGATTTAATGTTGACGGTGTAGAGTTTACCCTAAACCCTAAACCCTAAACCCTAAACCTAGGCTTTCGGATTCGGGCTTGCAGTTTCGGTCGCACAGCATGCATTCTGGGCCACAGCGGCCTCTTGGGTATGACATTGTTTGAAACACGGTGTCCTGCTTTGCTGTCTCTGTTCTCGACGGACAAAACGGGAAAAGCCTAAACCCGAAACCCGAAACCCTAAACCCTAAACTAAACCCTAAACCCTAAACCCTCAACATACTTTTTTCAAAACCCCACCGGTGTGAAATCTCTCGGAGACAGGACGCTGCCACCTGAGCTAGGGCGAAGGACTAAAACAGCGGGCATAATAATCCTGGGTAGTAGTAGGGAGACTTTAAGGGGGACCCTTCTGAACCCTACTTCTGGCTCTCTTATAAGGGACCTTATTGAGAGGGTCCATATCTCCAAGGGTCCCCCGAATCCCAACTCCCAAATAACAGTAATGATAGTAGTCGTGGTAGTCGTCGTCGTCGAAGTAGCAGTGGTAGTGGTAGTAGTAATAGTAGCAGT